CAAATATATCTGGCCTTATGTCAGAAGTAGTAGTATACACTGGAAATAATATGTACCTTCCAGTTTAAGTCCTCAAAGTGCAAATAAAATTGCCTTGTCATGGACAATGTGCTATTGTTACAGGGACTCTTTTGCTTGTTATATTTTGCACTATTTGACCACATTTTCAAGTGGAGGCTGGATGACCATGTTTCGGGTATGTTGTAGGGCTATCTTTCGGCTATGCTCAGGCAGAGTGCAGGAAGTTGGACCAGATGACCTGCAAGATCCCTTTCAACTCTACATTCTATGATTCAGGAAATCTCCAGGCCCCTCCTGGAGGCTGGCAACCCCAATCCCACCTACTACAGCCCCAGTCTGAATCAGGGACACGCACAGCTGCTCCTTCTATTAAAAACAAACACAGGAGGCATCTTATCACTGATCTCCCAGCCTTTCCAGTTCACATCAAAGGAGAGATCTTGTTTTCAGCGCCAGCTTCCCGGATTTCCACTCCAGACATTCCAGTTCACCTGGGAAAAACGTGCCCAGAAAATCCGGTGAGCGGTCCTTGCGATCCACAATTAGCATCCGCATTTCATATGTGAAGTGTGTCAGCTTCAGCCGTCTCCTAGCTCTGAGCTGTCAGCCGAGTTATTTTTACAGGCTCTTCTATGCCGCATGACTGCCTTTTCTTCTGCTCAACTTTTTTAAAAAAAAAAATATAGCGCTGTAAAATTATATTTGCATGAACAAAATGTAAAAATCCACCCGGTTTCCACCCATTAGCATAAATAGCATCTGGCTGAAGCGAACTTTACTTAAGAAACTGTTGGTTTGGTAATCTCAATATAGCAGAAAACATTTTGGGGAGGGGGGGAATATTCTATGTATTGTAGGGTCACCAAGATTTGAGGGTGGAGCCTGTGGCAGTGGGGTTGGAGGGGGTGGACCTTGGTAATGCCATGCAGTCCCCCCTTCCAAAACATCTATTTTCTGCAGGAGAGTTGAAGAAATGTTTTCAAGAACTGATTTTTTTAAAAACTAATTGATGTAGTCCGTGTTGGCAGAGTTTAAATAGGCAAAGGAAGTGGAGCACTGACTGTATAGAGAAAAATAAGTAGGTTTATTATAGAAGAACAAGCTGTTATGGAACATACAGAGAGAAAGCTTCAAGTAACCAGTCTAACTGCTGTGAAAGGAAGAAGAAGAAGAAGAAGAAGAAGAAGAAGAAGAAGATAATCTAACCAGTCTAATTGATGTAAAAGGAACAAAGAACAACAGGAAGCTCAACAGGAAGTCTCCAGAAGAGCCAATCAGGAGACAACAAGGGCATAATTTGAAATTGTGGGCAGTCCCTAATCTAGCTGTGCTAACTACCAGTCCTTCAGCTGTCCCCCTGTAGGCTGGTCTTCAGATCTTCTTCATAAAACCTTCTATATTCCAACAGTCTAGAGATCAGTTGTAATTCCAGAAGATCTCCAGCCCTCCTCCCCCTGGAGGATGGCATTCCTTCTTTATTGCCACCTTGAATGCTGGGTTGGGCTCAGATAGGCTCTAACCACTCTTCATAAAACCTTCTATATTCCAACAGCCTAGAGATCAGTTGTAATTCCAGAAGATCTCCAGCCCTCCTGGAGGTTGGCATTCCTTCTTTATTGCCACCTTGAATGCTGGGTTGGGCTCAGATAGGCTCTAACCACTCACCATGTTCTAAAGTGTGTGTGGGGTGGGGGTGTCTAAAAATATATAGAGCAGGACAACAGGATCAGGTGGAAGAAATGGCTGAGGATGCTAACCTCCAGGAGAGGATTTTGAGTTCTTCCAAAATATGAACTGATTTCCTGATTACAGAGATCAGTTCCCCTGGAGGTAGGATTTCCACGTCCTCCCTGTTAGATCGCTGCTAACAAAGATCCGGAGAGTGATTTCAGCAAAAGTGAACAGCTTTATTGAAGGTACAAACAAGTGCTTGAAATAAGTCATAAACAGAACAACTTAACATTGGGAGCAAGGCTCCTTTTAAACATTCCCGGGCTAACGTAGCCATGCCTCTATACAATAAACAACCAATGAGGTTGAGCCGATAAAGTCCAATGAGAGTTCTTCCCTCGCAGGGACTAGGTGCAGTTCTGATTGGTCGCTGTTGAGGAGCGACCAATAGCACGTTAGCTCGGAGGAGCCTTCCTCTGGCTCGAGCTTAACATGGGGAGTCAATGCGGCGATTCATGTAAGCCGTTTCAATACACTACACTCCCTGGAGACTCGTGAGGGTTGGGGGGGTTAGGGTTGCCAGATCCAGGTTGGGAAACTCCTGGAGATTTGGGGGAGGACCCTAGTGAGGACAAAGACCCTAGTGAGGACAAAGGGTGGGGTTGGGGGCATAATGCCATAGAGTTTAACTTCCAAAGCGGCCATTTTCTCCAGGTGAACTTATCTCTGTCACCTGAAGATCTCCAGCCACCACTTGGGTATCCGCTTTGGAGAGCCAAAGCTCCTTTTGCCAGAGCCGAGCAGAAATAGAGAGACATGAGAGAAGAATCTTGATAATGTGTGTGGTGGTGATTGCATTTGTGGCTGCCACCCTCCTGGCGGGGCCTGGAGATGTCCCAGAGTTCCGACTGATTTCCAGACAACAGAGATCAGTTCCCCTGGAGAAAATGGCTCCTTTGGACAGTGGACTCTGGGGCATTATAACCCACTGAGGTCCCTCCCTTCCCCAAACCCCACCCATCCCAGGACCCCCAAAATCTCCAGGTATTTCCCAACACGGAGCTGGCATCTCAAACCAGTGTAGCCGCTCAAAGGGGAACTTGGTCCAACATCCTTTAAGTTACATAAAGCGGGGTGCGTTTCCCTGAACAAACCAAGCCAATGGCTCGATGGATTACCCGTTCCGTGAGGCTCCGGAGCAGGGAGAGGGGTAGGTAATTAATGGACGGTGTGATCATAACTATTGTGGCAAGGCTGATTGGGGAAGTATGCGTCAGCTTTCGAAAAGGAAAATGATGGTGGGTGTACAGTGATAAATTATCCAGAAGTGCAATCAAATGGAGTGTGAGAGCAGAGGTGACGGTCTATGGTTTTTTGCAATGAGCTTAATGCTTGGCTAATGGCCAAATCGTTTGACCTGGGGAAGGAAAAAAGAATGGGTGGCAGTTGGCTGATCGAGACTGTAGGAAGGGGCGTGCAAACAGTGAGAAAAGTGAAGTAGGCCCCTGTGAACTCAGCGAGATTTAGTTCTCGTTCATTACTCCTACTCCGCGGCAAAGCAAAGAGAGGTGTGTTGAGAAAGGGATGAAAGGAACTTAGGGAGAGAAAAGTCTCTCTAGGAATCCAGACTCTCTTACTTTACCGATTCACAAAGCTGAAATACATAGCAAGGGCTCTCTCATTGCAAGAAGAAGAAGATATTGGATTTATGCCCTGCCCTTCACTGCCCTAAGGAGTCTCAGAGCAGCTTACAATCTCCTTTCCCTTCCCCTCCCCACAACAGATGCCTTGTGAGGTAGGTGGGGCTGAGAGAGCTCTTTCGAGAACTGCTCCTGAGAGAACAGCTCTGAAAGAACTTGTGACTGACCCAAGGTCGCACCAGCAGCTGCACGTGGAAGAGTGGGGAATTAAACCAGATTAGAGTCTGCACTCCTAACCACTACACCGAACTGGCTCTCTTTGTAATGATTTCCAGTCAGGCAAAGGATTGAAGTGTCCAGTTATGGATCGTAGGTAAGATTACTAGCTGTAGCTGTAACTCTGAGATCTAACCCACTGGCCAAATAGGCATTGTGCACGAGAGCAAAACCAGGCAGGAGGACTGTGTGGCTTCTTGGGCCTTTAACCCCTCCCTCTTGGTGGGCCTTCTCATGAACTGCAGGGAAAGCCAACTGGCATGGATCTTGCTGCAGAGGAAGGATGCCTAGGAAATTTACAAAAGGTTTGGAATTTTGCAAATAATTCAGGTGTCGCATTCGCCACGTGGAAATCCCAGTTAGCTGTATGCCTCTTACCAGGTGGCTGAGGTTTGCTGTCCTCCGGGTAGAACCGGGAGCTCTCCCGGAATTACAACTGATGTCCACACTTCAGAGGTCAGTTGCCCTGGAGAAAATGGCTGCTTTGGAAGGTGGAGTCTGTGGCTCCCTCCCGAAACTCTACCCTCTCCAGGCTCTGCTCCCAGATCTCCGGGAATTTGCCAACCCAGAGCTGGCAACCCTAAGAATCCCTTCCCGGATCCCTCCCACTACAGATGCTGCCTCCAAATCTCCAGGAATTTTTCAGGCCGGAGTTGACCACCCTAAATTACTCAGAGTTGTCATGTGACTCAGTCAGAAATCTGGAATGATAGGAAGAGAGGAGATTGGATTTATACCCCGCCCTTCACTACCCGAAGGAATCTCAGAGTGGCTTACAATCCCTTCCCCTCCCCACAACAGACACCCTGTGAGGTAGGTGGGGCTGAGAGAGCCCTCTTGAGACAACTGCCCTTGAGAGAACAGCTCTGAAAGAGCTCAGGACTGACCCAAGGTCACACCAGCAGCTGCATGTGGAGGAGTGGGGAATCAAATCTGGTTCTCCCAGATTAGAATCCGCTCTTCTAACCACTACACCAAACTGTCTCTCTTGCTTTGTAGAGTCTTGCTTTCTTCCGTAACTATCCTTTCACAAAGAGTATACTCTTTGTCTTAATGTCAACCAACAGTATTCTTCCTCTGTCTATAGAGGCTCCCGTCAGCTAATCAGGCCAGTAGACATATCCTCCATGAATGTGTCCAAACCCTTTCCCCATACCTATGTAAACAAAAAGCAGTCATCCACATTTCACGGGTAGTGAATTTCAGAATTCACTAGGGGAGCGGTGGCACAGTGCGTATATCAAACCCGGTTCTCCCAGATTAGAGTCCACGCTCCTAACCACTACACCAAACTGGCTTGAACCACAAGCCCTGGGCAGCAGGTGCCATCTCCTTATTTGCTGCTACTGATGATCACAAACCAACCTATTTCTGTTTCTCTGTTTATCCCAGGTTGTGATTTAATCCCGGTCCAATTCCTCCGATGGGGAGATCCAGAACCCATCGCCGCAGTTGTTTTTGCCTGCTTGGGTCTCCTGGCTACCATGTTTGTCACCGCCATCTTCATCATGTACCGTGATACACCAGTGGTCAAGTCCTCAAGCCGGGAGCTCTGCTATATCATCTTAGCGGGCATCTTTTTGGGTTACCTGTGTACTTTCTGTCTCATCGCCAAACCCCAGCAGATCTACTGTTATCTTCAAAGAATAGGCATTGGTCTCTCCCCGGCGATGAGTTACTCTGCCCTAGTGACCAAAACCAACCGCATTGCGAGGATCCTGGCCGGGAGTAAGAAGAAGATCTGCACCAAGAAACCCCGCTTTATGAGCGCCTGCGCCCAGCTGGTCATTGCGTTTATCTTAATCTGCGTGCAGTTGGGCATTATAGTGGCCCTCTTCATCATGGAGCCGCCGAATATCAAGCACGATTACCCGAGCATCCGAGAGGTGTACCTGATTTGCAACACCACCAACTTGGGGGTCGTGACTCCCCTCGGATATAATGGCTTACTCATCTTGAGTTGCACTTTCTACGCGTTCAAGACCAGGAACGTCCCCGCAAACTTCAATGAGGCCAAGTACATTGCCTTCACGATGTACACCACGTGTATAATCTGGCTGGCCTTTGTGCCGATTTATTTCGGGAGCAACTATAAGATCATCACGATGTGTTTTTCGGTAAGCCTGAGTGCCACCGTGGCTCTCGGCTGCATGTTTGTTCCAAAGGTGTACATCATCCTGGCCAAACCGGAGAGGAATGTACGCAGCGCGTTTACCACCTCCACCGTGGTCCGGATGCACGTTGGGGATGGAAAGTCGTCTTCCGCCACGAGCCGTTCCAGTAGTTTGATCAACTTGTGGAAGAGGAGAGGATCTTCCGGAGAGACTCTAAGGTAACTTTAGCTGATATGGATGGCGTTTTTGAATTGTGGATTTACCAGTGGTGGTAGTGGAAGAAATATGACAAATATTCTCTCTTTTAGTTAGCTACACATCTTACCATTTTTGTTTTTAAGAAAGGTCCAGAGGTCTTCTGGTTTCTCAAGACCCAACTTTATGGGAACCACTTAATTGGTTTATTTTTTTTACTTATGCACGGTTTTTATGTTTACTTTATCCACCTCAAACAAGTCACCTCTCTCTTTCCTTTTTCTCCTTGCTTCACCTCCTATCTTCCTCTCTTTCTGCCTATTGGTCTTTCTCCTTCTCTCTGCAGCACTGATGCAACTCAGTCAGTTCATGTTCCAGTCAAATGTTCTCTTCTGCACAGCTATGCATTGCACCAAATATGAGATTTTTTTAGAACCGTCTAGTGGTCTTCAAACCATTGGTTGAAGACCAATGGTCAAGTCTGGAGGTAGGCTGCCTCCAGCACGTGTTGCAAACAACATCTATTAAGTTTGGCATACAGGGCTAGTTATGAAGGATCCGTCTATCAGTGGCTACCAGGCATGGTGACTAAAGGGAACTAAAGAGAAGGTGACATGGCCTAGCCCAATATCGTCAGATCTTGGAATCTAAGCAGGGTTGGGTACATGGATGGGAGACCTCCAAGGAAGGCTCTTTAGAGGAAAGCCATGGTCAACCACCTCTGCTTCCCACTTGCCTTGAAGGCCTCTTGCTGGGGTAGCTGTAAGTTGGTTGCCACTTGACAGCATATACATCCATCAGTATCTACCCCAATACAGTAGTCCTCCAGACTACACGAGGCAATACGACACAAGCATAATTTGCGGCTTGAAAAGGTCCTGTTGAGTCATCGGCACATGTGGCAGTCAAAGGAAAGCAAGAGATGCCAAACAAGACGTACAGATTGCTTCCTCTCTTTTGGAAGCCGTTAATCCAAGATCCCTCTCACACTCCACTGATAGTCAGGCTCCCTGGGTTTACTGTATATTTCCTTCCAGTGAAAAGACAACATAATTGGTATGCAACTAGAAATTAATCATTCACCATTCAGAAGAAAGGATCATTAGATGCTATTTTTGGCGTTCCTTAAGTGTTTTCCAAGTGAGTCATCCGGGATAAATTCCGCTTTTCTCAGTGTTGCTTCCTACTCTTTGCCCTTCTTTCCTCATTTAGTTATTTAGAAATCTTGCGGAGTGCTATTGCTCCCTAACCATGACATCCTCTCTTCCTGTTCGCCACCAATCTCGCACTTGCTGCTTTTCGTCTCGCTGCCAATAGATGAAGCCCCTTCTTCAATGCATAGCTTATCCCTGCTGGTCCTTAAAAACTAAGCGATTAGTAGTCATACTGCTATTGGACACATTGACGTCTACACTACTACATAGCATAATCTAAGCTAAAAAAGGACAGATACCTGCTGCAAGAAAATTATAGTCCAAAGGAGCCAACAGAGGGGGAGGACAGGCAAGATTAATACGGGATTCATGAATGGTAGCAGGTGCAGTTACAGATACCTAGATATTATACCTTTGTGCAAGATGCCGAGAACATAAATGAATTGTGTGCACATAGGGGCTCAGTGTAAAGCTTTGGCTCCATGTGCTAGGTTCAAATCCAGCAGCAATCTAGAGACCAACAAGAATTTTGGAATATAATCTTTTGGTAGTCCAAGCGCCCTTCGTCAGAGAGTCAATTCTGGCTCTTGAAAGCTCCTACCCCAAAATTCTGCATAGTTTTTTGGCCCAAAGCAAGAGCATCCCCCTGGCGATGTGCCGAGCATGATGACATCACTTCCAGGCGACGTCATCGTGGCGCACCACGTGCACACGCCAGAAGATCCAGGAAGGGAAGCTCCGTCCCCCTGCCGGCAGAAGGTAGGGGCCTGGCAACCTCAAGGGGGAAGGAGCGGAGGGAGCCAGCAGGAGCTGGCCTTATCTTACTGGAGAGTTGGGTTTGCTCTGCTTTCTACTAAATGCTGGCAGAGAGCTGGGTCAGTGCTGCCAAAAAGAGAAAGAATCCACATTTCCCAAATGCCCATTTGGACACTCCCATACATTGTAACAGCAGAAGCTGCCGTGGGGAAGGGAGGCGTGGGAGCTGCTGTGGGAGGTGGGGAAGGGCCCCTTGCAGCTGTCTCTTTAACTGCCCTCGGAGATGAAAGCTATCAGCAGAGGCAAGGATCTGCGGCGACCGTTTTTGCACTCCAGGCCCCCGCGAACCCCATGCTCTTCCCAGGCACGTGGCTCACTGCTCGCCAGGGGCAGGGTTGCCCACCTTTCCCACGGGCGCCTGGACTCAAATCCCCCATCTCCCCTCAGCCTCCTCCTCAGCCTCCCTTCTCTCCCCTCGCCCCACCACCACCACTGCCCACGGCTGTCCCTTATCTCAACGCCAGTTCTTTGGTAAAGAGGAAACTCCCTCCCCCTCCCCTCCCCCTCCCGGCTCTGCTTTCTCACCCTCCCGGCCCTGCTCCTGCACTGGCCACTGTGAGGGCGGCAGGGGAGGAAGGTGGCCCTCTCCTCTCCCCAGCCTTCTTCCTCCTCCTCCTCCTGGGACCAGCAGGGCAGGCAGTCAGGAGCAGTGTTCCCTCTAAGCTGAGTTAGTGTGAGCTAGCTCACAGTTTTTTAAGCCTCCGGCTCACACATTTTTGTCCTAGCTCAGGAAGGGAGGGCTCCAGAGCAAACTAATTTATGCAGCAGCCAAATCGCTCGCTCACAACTTTAATGCCAGTAGCTCACCAAGTAGAATTTTTGCTGAGAAGACTCCACAGCTTAGAGGGAACATTGGTCAGGAGGGGGCAGGGGACATTCAGGAGGGGCTGTCGCCTCAAATGCCCCCCCCCCGTCCCGTGGCTAAGGGTCTGCCTGGGAAGCAGCAGCCAGTCTGAATGGGCAATACTGATCCTGATGGTCTGATTTGGTATGAGGCATCTTCGCGTGTGGCCATTTCTGATCTCCTGTACGTGAATTAAGCCCCCAAAGGTTAAGAAAATGAGAATATAAGGGCCCGATAGTTGTGTGTCGAAAATTGAAGCATAAATATAATCAAGTATATGAAAATATACATGTATTTATTAAATTTGTAAATGTATTGCAAATACATGTATTCATTACAAAATGAATTCAATTAAGAACTGAAAGGTTAAAGAAATTAGAATATAAGAACCCAGTAGTTGTGTGTCGAAAACTGAAGCATAAATATCATCAAGTATATGAAAATATACATGTATTTATTACAAGGCCCAAGTAATAGCCTCAGTTCAGAATTGAATTATACATTAATCCCAAAGACAGACCATTATTGACCCTGACCAAACGCTTTTCAGCCAATTGGTCTTCCTCAGTGGTCAAATAATGTTCTTACAGAATGGCTCCAGACATTACATTACCTTTGGGATTCGATTCTATCCTGAATTGAGGCTATTACTTGGGCCTATATTTGTTTTTATTGAATTTGTAATAAATACATGTATATCTTTTTGTATATTTGATCATATTTATGCTTCGGTTTTAGACACACAACTACTGGGTTCTTATATTCTCATTTCCTTAACCTTTTGGTTCTTAATTGAATTCATTTTGGGTTAAGTTCCGCCCACACCTTTCATTATCTCCTACACATGTTCAGTGACTGTGTGCAGACAAACATCTGAGGAGGTTGATCGTTGCCGCGATAAATGATGTTGTGGGACGTTAAGTGGGACATGAATAGCAATGCTGGGTTTTGAGGGTCAGGGTTGCCAGCTCCGGATTGGGAAATATCTGGAGCTTTGGGGGGAGGAGCATGGAGAAGGTGGGGTTTAGGGAGGGTCTTCAGCCGGGTAGAATACCATGGAGCCCACCCTTCAAAGCAGCCATCTACAAAAAGAGCCCTGATTACAACTGTAATAGCAGGAGATCTCCAGGCTCCACCTGGAGGCTGGCAACCCAATTGAGGATGGATGTGGTGGAAGACAGGAATGTGGCACTATGTAGGTGTTTGGGAACAAAGTCCCAGGAATCAGAGTAGGGTTGCCAACCTCCAGGTGGGGTCTGGACTTGTCCCAGAATTACAGATGATCTCCAGCCTACAAAGACCGGTTCCCCCAGAGGAAATGGCTGCTTCGGAGGGTGGACTCTGTGGCAGTGAGCGCCCTCCTTCCCCAAAGCTCACCCTCCCCAGGTTGCACCCCCAGAATCGCCAGGAATTTTCCAACCCAGACTGGCCAACCTACATAAGGAGACGAGAGACTGAGTCACTTCAGAGAGCAGGAGACACTCGGGCCGATGGAGTCAGAGGAAAGAAGGACATATGGGCAGAAAGACACATGGAATCATATAGCAGGAGATCTCCAGGCTCCACCTGGAGACTGGCAACCCTATTGAGGATGGATGTGGTGGAAGACAGGAATGTGGCCCTATGTAGGTGTTTGGGAACAAAGTCCCAGGAATTAGAGTAGGACTGCCAACCTCCAGGTGGGGTCTGGACTTGTCCCAGATTTACAGATGATCTCCAGACTACAGAGACCGGTTCCCCTAGAGGAAATGGCTGCTTTGGAGGGCGGACTCTGTGGCAGTGAGCCCCCTCCTCACCCTCCCCAGCTTGCACCCCCAGAATCGCCAGGAATTTTCCTACCCAAACTGGCCAACCGACATAAGAGGGGAAGGGAAAGGAAAGGAGATTGTAAGCTGCTTTGAGACTCCTTTGGATAGTGAAGGGCATGGTATAAATCTAATCTCCTCCTCCTCCTCTTCCTTCTCCTCCTCCATTGGTCAATGCCCCTGAAAGGGAAATGGGTACAAGTCTTCTGGGTGTACCCTCTGCTTCTATGTGATCACTGACTCATCAGCATGGCATCTGTGTGCAGAGGAAGTTGCATCTATGTAGGTGCCCTTCCGGTGACTGGGAAAGCTGCTTTCCGTGACGCTATGGACATATACTTCCTCCATGCTGACTGAAGGGAACCTCCACATTCTGCTGGTGTGACCTTGGGTCAATCACAGTT